CTCACCAAATTTGATCAAAAATAGAAGAAAACAAATTTACTCACCTTGTCTATGGGTTTCAGCAGCTAGCTGGAGAAGAGAGAAGAGTTTCACGATGGTTCTCCAAAAATATCTCTAATTATTAACCTTTAAAACTAATTAAATGAATTTTTTTATTCCTTTTTGAACAAAATACCAAAATTGCCCTTAATAAATCTTGAAAATTACCAAATGCCATTGTATTATCTTCTATTAAAATATTCCTTGGTCAAAGATGATACAACTTGACTTTGACTTTCGAAATTGACCATGCAATTTTTAAAAATTGCATTTTAGTCACTAAAATTCCATTTGTTTGGTCAAATCTGAAAAATTGCACTGTTCTGAGCCAAATTTCTCTGATCGAAAATATGAAAATAATATTTCCAACTATTTTCTAACATCCTTCAAATTTTTGTAAAATTTCAGCTCGATCCGAATATCTGATTTCAATACTGAAATTTACTGCTTTATATCTTTTATCAAAATTCTCATACCAAAAATAAGATCCCCACTAAAATCTCTGTTTTAATCCAAAATTTTCATTTACAGGCATAAAATATATAACTTTTAAATTACAACCTTCAGTCCCTACACTTTTCAAAGTTTATACTTTAGCCACTAAACTTTCAAAACTTACATTTTAGTCACTGGTCAAATTTTGGGGTATTACAATACATGTGTTTCAAATTACAGGTTTCATTCCTTATTCTGATTCCTTAAACCATGTCAAATCCAAAACCCCCTAGGACTTCTTCTAGTCGTTCTACCCGACCTCCAAATCCCGTTCCTCCTCTACCTAATAGTCTTATAGGATCCTGTTTTAATATTCCTGAACATCGTAGAGACGGATTTTACTCTAGGTACAGAAATTCTTTCCAATCCTATAGAATCCGGGAAGAGCTTATTCCTTCTCTTCAAGCCATGATAGATATTGACTTTGAATACCTTCCGATTCTTAAAACTTGGAAGTTTGATAAAATGCTTCATCTCAAACATATAGTCTATCAACAGTTAGTCCGCATTTTCTACTCTAATGCGGTATGCATTCAAAACCAAACTCAATGTGGGACTATAGCAATTAGATCCTATCTTTTAGGCCAATATATTAATATTGACCCTGAGACTATAACTTTTCGTTTTGGGCTAGATGATGATGGGTAATATAATGAGAATGAAACTGTGGAATATCCCTATTTCAAAACTCTATTGTTAGTACTCTACGATCTCATCACGATCGTTTTCTTCATTTGATGATCTCTTGATGGTTTAGACCATCCGGAGGTAGGTACTCCACTCTTCGTACTAGGGATTTATGGTGTATGCACTGTATCAAGAATAAGATCAAAATAAATCTGCCCCACACTATATTTAGTCAACTAGTGGATATCATAAACATTGTTCCTTCAAAACATGTTGAAACATTGATTTATGGATGTCTTCTTAGTAACATTTTTATCAAACTCGGTCTAAACATCTCTCTCGATAATCCTATCCCTCTCCAAAATCAAATCAATCTCACTTCGTTGAAGAAAGCGGATTGGAAACAAGATGAGGAAACCGGTCTTTGGGTCTTTCGACCCGGTAAGCAAACTCTGGGAGCGAGTTCTTCATGATCTGCTCCTAGCTCCTCTCGTGCTCCTCCTCCTCCTCCGGCTGCTGACAATGATCCCGAGTTTCAACAACTTATACAAGATATCGACGATCACGTACCAGACGATGAGCCTGCACCGGAACCAGCACGACAAGAAGATCAAATGCCACCATATTTTCGATCTTTCTTAGAGTCGTTTGATCTGAGGTTTGCTTCCATGGAGTCTCAGATTACTGAGTTTCAGCGGGAGATGTGTGAACGTATGGACTCGCTCACTCTTGAGGTTTGCCTCCCGATCCTCCGATGGAGTAGATTTGGTTCCTTGTTATGCTTTCTTGTTTTTTTAAAACTTGGATTGATTTTGATGTTTCTGAATTATTTATTTCAAATGTTTGAATTTTTTATGGTTTGGAGGATTGGATTTTGAACTTAATATATATAATTGGTTTGGTTGATTTCTCTCTCTTTTTTTGCATCATTAGAAATATATGACCAATAATGTCATTTCACATTTGATTATGGAACTAATGGCTAATCTCTCTTTTGATTGTGATCTTAGCAACTTAAGCTATATTTACTTATAATCAATTGGCTATGCTTTTCAAAACCTTGTTTAAAACGTTTTAGAGTCTTTTTTATTTAACAAAAAGGGGGAATTATAAAAGGGGAGAAGTGTTATAGTAAGGGGGAGTAATTTTTCAAAATTGATTTCAAAAATGATTTTTCTTAAACAAATCTTAAAAATACACAAATGTTTTGTTATATCAAAAAAGGAGAGATTGTTGAAAGCATTTTGATGTTTCGATATAACAAACTAAGTATAAATGAATTTTAAGATTTTATAAGTATATTCGATTCAATTAATCGAATATCAAATCATTACTCCAAGTCTTTCAAGATCAATTTCAAACTTTACTAAATGTTTAAAATTGTATTTTATACTTAAACTATTTTTTAAAACAATTTTCACAAAGAATTTTGAACCAAAATCAAGCCTAAAATCAATTTTTCAAAGTGATGCACCGATGCACCAATCCATGCATCATGAAATAAATTGAAACATCGAATGCATTTCATGCATCGATGCACCAGCCATGCATCGATGCACTCTGGCTATTTTGAAACATCGAATGCATTTTATGCATCGATGCACTATTAGTGCACCGATGCACTAAGGGTCCAACGGTCAAAATATTTGAATTTTACACTTGATGCACCGATGCACCATGGGTATGCATCGATGCACTGACGCTCCCAACTGCTTTAATTAATTGTTTTCACACTTAAACGGCTCTATTGACTCCACTAATCATCCCCAACGTTCAGAATCAATTGAAGGAGTATTTAAGCAAGTTCTGAAGCCATTGATCAACAAGAAATCATAGAGAAACAAGAGAGAAAGCATCAAACACCAAGTTTGTGCAATTCAAGCCAATTTTCCTTTCAATATTCATTTTGCTTTCAAGAACACCATTTGTGCTCATTTGTAATTATTTTTTAGTGTTCTTTTCTTGTTCTAGAATTGTGCAAACATCTTACCTTGTGAGGATTTCCTTGTAAGTTTGCAAATTTGTGTATTTCTCTTTGAAAAAGAGTGTGCTCAAGAATTGGGGTATAATTCTTGAGGGAATTGTAAGATTACTCTTTGTCCTCAAAAGAAAGAACAAATTAGTGAATTAGTTGGAAAATCCTTAGTGTGGATAGCTAAGGTAGTGGACGTAGACTTTGGTTGAGAAAGTCGAACCACTCTAAATCGCTGTGCAATTACTTTCAATTTTCTTCAAAAGCTTCCACCAAATTTTTAATTGCCAATTCACCCCCTCTTGGTCGATTTCATCGATCGATTAACTCAACAAAAATCAATAATATTATTAAGTATTCTAAAAATGAAAATTTAAAAAAAATATATAGACATGACACATGCTACTTAAGGATTTTGTTAACTGCGTATGCACGTAAAAATGTGATGTCATAAACATTATATATCTATTTTTAAAGAAAAAATCTTTAGATGCTTAAAATTAATTTAGGTTATAATTTGGATACTTATTTTTGCATTAAACTTTTTTTGATGATTCTTCTATAAAAGAAGAAAATGTCAATTAAAAACTTTTAACCGCATACTTTGAAGATTGTTGATAAAAATAACATTATTTGAGTAAAAATACATTACGTAGAAATTGATATCAAAAATGCTTTTTTTAAACTCGCCTTTATTAACATGATATATGTTTTAGCGAAATCTTTAATATATGTTATCTAAGATTAAAATATAAAAAATGAGAACAATATAACAAAACTATCTCAAAAGAAGTATACATATTTTATTTAAAATAATATATATATATATATATATATGAGCACAAGTAAAAAATGACAATGGTTGACATACATAAATTTTATTTTTAATCATTCAATGAGTATACATTTTATATTTAAATATTTGTAAAAATTCACATATAGGTAAAGTGAAAATTGAAATTTTCATTATAAAAAAATTATTGATTATAGGTTACCAAAAGACAATTATTGAACTTGGTTACACTCTTAATCAATGACAGTAAATGGCAGCTAACACAAGTATAGTAGAGTGGACAAACCTAAAGAGACCCAAAAAAAAACCAAAATGTGTTCTTGCCTCAAAACTACAGCGGAAGACCATGGTACTTGGTCATAGCACGAAGTCGATCACATTAATGTTGATGAAGGAAAGCGTCAGAAAGAAACCTGCAAGAGAAAATAAAAATAAAAACAAAGAAAAATAGAAGAAAGGAATGTGAATGAATGTAGCAACAAACGGGTGTGTGAAAGAAGACAGTCAATGACAGACGGGTGAGAAGGAAGGCGAAAAAAGTGACAAACAGAGGCCGAAGATATATATATAAAGGAATAAAAAAGTTAACAAAAAAATGTGAAAAATAAAGGGTTGGAAGAAGCAATGAAAAAAAGGTGGGTAACGACTCGACTAAAGTAAAATAGAGAATCATCAGTGACCGACGACTAACCTAAGACTAATATCATTATCGATGGTACTAAAAGAAAAGAGGGAAAGATTGGAGTTGGAGGTGCTAAAGAGAAGAAAATTAGAGATTTGTTTACTCAAAAAGTTATAAACAGAGACACAAATTCTAATGAAAGAAACGTAGTGGGAATTGGATACAGTTCAATGAGTTAATTTACTAATACATTATCTGATGTATTTCACTGACTTGACTGAAATTTAAGCTTGAAATTCGTAACTACTTTGCGAGCAGTAAACACGGATGAAATTCGCAACTGGAGTCGCAGTCGTGGACTCGAAATTCCAAACAGTTTAAGCTTTATTCATCTTTAGATGAAAAAGCATTTACTAGCTGATATCAAAAACCTATACAACGAAATACGATCAATTCCAACTACTTTAAAGCACGAAATGCAAGTCCCCAAGCATCTATCTATACAATCATCTAAAACCCAAACTTCCTAACCCATCTCTACCTATCTTTCTGGCTACCAAAATTAGCCTCTCCTGTTATAAGCTTTATTCCTCTCACCCACAGCTCCGCCGTTTCTGACCCGCCTTCGCACATGAAATGAACCTCTTTGTTCTTGTTAGTCACCACTCGGAATAATCCAGGTTCGTTCGCATCACCCTTGTTGTGCCTGTTCCTTCCAAAGGTTGCACTTGGTCCCAATTCTGCCTCCCGGCATATCACATTTCGTCGACTTGACTTTCCCCACTGCAGTAGTCCGGAATTCCGCACCATTTTCATGTCTTTCCCGTGAGGGTTTCCTTTTCCTCCCTTGGTATGCTTCATGACACGGGCGCCACCGAGAACAAGGTTGCGAGCAAGCTCATCTAGAATCACACGTTCCGCGTCATTTCTTAAGGGAATGGTTTTTTGAGCAAGAGATAGAGCGGTTTCTCCTTTAGCATTCTTGAAATCACAATTTGCCCCGTGTGAGATTAGGAGCTCACACATGGGACCATGACCTTCCCTAGCTGCTAACATAAGTGGAGTGCATCCATCTCCATCGGGGACATTTACATCATAACCCCTGCTCGTCAATAACGTAACAGCATCCAGATCTCCGTAGCGCGCTGCACAATGCAAAGCATAGAAGCCTCCAGCATTTCGGTTGCCTTTTTCTAGTGCCAATTCAAGCATCACCTTCTCGAACAGATCTCGGTTCTGGTTCAGTTCAGACAATGTAATTGCAGTCTCACCAGATCTATTTAGCAGCTTAACATCAGCTCCAGCATAAGCTAGCAGCCGGAATGCTTCAACATGACCTTTCAAGGCGGCAATCATGATTGCCGAGAAACCATTCTCATTCTGATAATCAAGATCAACTTCACTTGCAATCAGCACTTTTAGAGCCTCAACGTCACCAGTTTCAGCAACAAACAGCAACGGAGAGAAAATTGATAAATTGCTCGACTTTGGGATCCTTCGAACCTTGATTATGTCCAGCACTGCTTGCTGGAAACCAAGGAACCACCGGTTTGAACCGGCAATCAAACTAGCGGACTGACCAGAGACGTTAATTAAGCCAAAGTCCGCACCAGCTCCAGTCAACACTCTGAGACATTCTGCATGCTTGTACTTTGCACAAATCATCAAAGCTGTGTCACCGGAGTCGGTCTTGGAGTTTATATCACAACCCGAATCAATGAGGATTTGAAGGGTTTCTGACAAGCCAAAACGAGCAGCCAAGTGTATTGGCCGGAACTCGATTTTCAAGGTTTTAAATAGGCATTCTGGGTCTGCGCCACAGCTTAAAAGCACTTTGACAGCTCCCGTACTTCCACAAAGGATAGCATGGTGCAGGAGAGTTCTTCCGTAATGACGTGTCTCAAGGGAGAAGTGCTGAAGGAGCATGCGCAAGATGGCACCACTATCTTCAAAATATTCTACAGCACACCAGCTTATTGCATAAGGCTCAGCCAGTCCTGCACCCACTCGGAACTCTTCACCTGTAGTAGTGTCCCATGACCATGCTCCAAGACTTACTTTAATGTCAGTTGGAATCCCAGCCTGTTAATGAGCCAAAGTGGTTTATAAGACGAGAAGAAATAATAATAACAAAAGTATTATTATTCAAAGCATGTTACTAATTCTTTGATGCAACTATTTAAACTATCTTAGGTGATTTATCGGTGAAATAATATCTTGAGGGAACCTAAGTACCATAAAGAATACCAGATCCAGATTTGATGCAACTGTTACTACAATATTCTAGTTATTTAGAATCTAGTCATAAAAAAAATGCTTTGAGATTAAGCTTGTACATCCAAAAGACATTTAATGTCTATTTTTACATTTTTTAAGAGTTTTGAGAAATTTGTGTTGATCACCTGTAGAAGCAAGCAAACAACTGCAACCTGCCGACTAACCACAGCAGCAACAAGTGCATTGCAGTCAACATTTGTATATAAAGAAGGTTTAGACGACTGAAGCAACTGTCTATGACTTGCATTTGCATCGACACCGCACTGTTATTGAGTAGGAGATTATTAAATTATCATGATGAATATAATACAAACAACTAAATATTCAGAACTACATCAACATCTTAAAATATAATGGTCCAGGAGGACCAACTAAATAACAGCAGCATGCAATTATTGGCTAAATCAGCAACAAGTGCAGCAAGGTCAAGCACCCAACTTAGTATAAGGCATTGGAGTGGAAGCAGACAAAAAGCTAATAGCAGCAAAAAGAGAGAATTACAAGACATTCTAATGGTTAAAACTATTGAAGTGCCCCGCTGTGTTATATTACAGTGGATTTTAGAGCTTTACTCGTACATACTGCTACTAAGTGGTGCATAAGATTAGTGGGTATGATAGCTTTACCTTCATTAGAGTGTCCACCACTTCCACAAATCCCCTGCAGCAGGCTGTGACGAGAGCATGAATAGCAACATGTGGCCGAATTAGATCAGACCCCATGAGCAGTTCGGCAAGCCTTGCTTGTCCATGGCAGCTTGCCTCCAGAAGAGCTTCTTCGCAAGCTGGCTGAGACGCCCCAGCTTTAAGCAAGATTTTCAGAATCTCAAGGTGACCTTCTCTGACTGCTACTGTTGTCGCAAAGCCCTTGAAGAGTTTCTGATTCACATCAGCTCCTACGCTCTGTTATATAAAAAAAAATACACTTTTAGCACATTGACGGTTTAAGTTGGTAGAAGGAATTTAAACAGACATCTTTTTGCAGTTATTTTTACAATCATCCTCATACTTTGACCGAAAAATAGAGACAACATTGCATAATACTCGGTGAATTTTCTTTTCTTACTCCCCTTTTCTTAAAATTTCACAGTGGTCCGTAAGAAGAAAATAAACAACTAAAATTATATGCATATTGGAATGTTCAATAGATGAAAGAAATCACACAGCTACAAAAGGACAAAAACAGCAACAACAATTATTGATAGATGGAGAAGTGGAGAACGTTCTTCAAGAGATGCATGATGATTTCAACCAAAAATGGGAATGGGGGATGCATCATATATGCTTGTAATGTTTCGTACTTCAAACTCAGGCCAACGGTCGGTCACAACTCAGTATGGGGCTTGCAGAGCATGTTTCTCTAGAATAAATGTGTTAGGCAATAAACTACGCGTATCTTCAATTTGCTTTACAACTTATAATCGTGTTATCCAACAAGAAAATATCTACTGGATTTGCTTTAGAAAAGAAAAACTATGTTTTTTAGTAAAACAGGTAAGGGCAAGTGAAATATCAGACATATGATTCAAGTAGGACATTAACAGCTTGAGATTATTTAATTATATATATTTATATTTATATTCATATTTCCCTATCATTAACTATGCTTTCTTGACACAACTATTCCATCAAAATCATGAGAAAATATCATCTAATTTATCCAAAACAAAGGCTGAGAATAATTAAGTTTTGTCGAAGCAACCTAAAATGATCCACCCCTAAAATAGCAGCTCCCCAGAGACGAATACGACATAGGGTCTTTTTACATGAACGAAAAAGAAACTAAGCCTTTTAACCATAAACGACAAGACAGCCATAATGTTACAAAGATTTCCCTTCAATGCATTTATTTTTCAAAAGTAAATGTGAAAGACATGGGTAGAACAAACATTTACTCCTCTATTTATATGTTACAGTAAGAAAAACAGTAAATTTGGTGTTTCATTTCAAGAAATAGTTTAAGGAGGTGCCTAAAACAGGATTCTTGGTAGAGATTCAAAGCAAAAATAAATGAAATTACTACACTGAATTAAAGAAGCGTACTTAACTCTATATAAATTTTAGAAAAATATGTGACCAAATTATACCGATTTTTCATTTATATGCTTAAACTATTTCCAGGTTAATCCAATGTTACCATTTTAAAATCCATATGTCACATTTATATTTTTTCGGAATTTTTATTTAATTTTTTTTTTAAAAGGGGGAAAGTAATAAGCACGGGGAAGACATATTGAAACTTTGAACATATGAACAACTTTTAAGTGAAAGAGAATATTAGTTTTTAATTGAAAATTAAAAAAATAAAATAAAATTCAAGAAACGTAAGGACCATGAAACTCAGTAATTAAAGACAGGAAGTTACAAGCAATTTTTAATTGAAAATACTTTTAGCATTTCGAAAAATTAGAAAATCACCAAAATACTCTGTTGAAATTTGAATTTGAAAAAGTCGGTTTCAAAGTGAGCATATTTAACCTCCGCAATTTTTTTAACCCGTAGCCAAACAGATCAGTAACTACTAAAGAAAGCACGAGTGGAACGCTTCAAAACCACCAAAGCAGTGGATAAATTTGAAAATCCTTTTGACTTTTACTTAATTCTATTCAATGCGTTAAAAATGGAGATTTGAAAGCAACGATCTGACTCTGCAGGCCTAAAACGTTGATTTTCAGTGACAAGATACTGATTTCCAAAACATTCAGAAACTAAACTGAAAACAAAATTGAAATTATTCTAAAAGTTAATTAAAAATCAATACAAGCAATTCAAAATTAAACTCTTAGAAACAAAATGCAGAGGAGCTTAAAACGAAATGACAAATCAAGTTGATAACCAAAACGAAGAAAAACCGCTGTAAAAACGCGATGTGAATGGAACAGTTCGAAAAACACAACAGAAAAAAGGAAATACCGAAAGTTTTGGATTGCATTACCAACAGTTTTTTCACGAGAGCGACATTCCCGACGTGAACAGCGAGGAAAAGAGCAGTAACGTCAGTCGTAAACTCCTCATACTCGACGCGGACCTCACTCGGCGCCTCTTCTCTCAAAACGACTTCGGCCTTCCTCGTTTTCAAGTAAATAGCTCCGATGAAGTTGACATCGACGAACGGATCGGCGATGCATTCGAGAGAGGACCTCAGATCGCCGGATAAAGAAGCTTCGAGCAGACGCTGAGAAACTTCGGCCTCGTAATAGACGGGAACCACCTGTCTGCTGCCGGAAAACACCGTCATAGTTTACACGTGGCGGTTTCTAGAAGATAGCACACAGAAGCCGATGTGACACTAGGTGAGAGATGGCATGCGAAAGACGCGCGAGGCTCGACGGATGAGAAGAAGAAGCTCAAACAATTAAAAAAAAAGGAAAAAAATTGAAAGAAGTGAGCGCCAGAGAGTGAGGCGAAGAAGGTTGCTTATTTATTAGGGAAAAGAAGTTTTTCTTTTACTTTTTTACCACGGTTATGCTTAAAATGGTAAGAGATCTTGTAAAATTTGAGGGGGAGATTGTGAGGTCGGCCCAGGATTTTGTATACAGTGGCTTCAGAATATCAAGTAAATAAATCGTGGATTCGAGATCTCAAATCAGAACCGTTGATAGGAATTATGTTTTCTCTCTACCGTCTTGATTTGCCGTAATATATAAATCAGAAATTTAAATTCTTTTTTATTTTTTATTAAATACTTAAATTATCAGTTTTTTACCCAAATATTATTCATAACAATTTATTTTCTATTCTGACCTTCATTTTCGGTTTTTTTATTGATATTTTTCTGGTAATGTAATACAAAAATACGTCTTACAAGAAACGTCTTTGGAAAGTGTTTTTCATAAAGAAGTGTCTTCTATCATGATCGAATGAAGTGTGATTTTCATAGAAAATGTCTTTGTATTGAAAAATTAAAAAAATTAAGGAACAAATAAATTAAAATAAGACTTAAATAAAAAATCAAAATATGTATACTAATTTTGATGTATCATTATAAAAATAATGATATTGATAAACAATACAAATGAAAAAATTATATTATCTAGTTTTGTATTATTTATTAAATGAGTTCTATGTGATAATGATACTTGTTTTGTGTGAAATTTTTTCGTATTAATCGCAATTTAATAGAATTGTTATAGTTAATATTTTCATCATCTTGATCAATATTAAGTTTAATATTGTTGATATCAATTTGTGTTATCGACTTCAATAATGATGAATGACCTTTGTAGAATAAGGTGTATGATCAATAATCTCACCCCCTTAATGAAAACTACAAAAAAGTAAAAAAAAAATGGTATCGTTGATTGGACTGGATGCAATGACAGTGATAATGAAGAATGAAAATTACTTAATATTATAAATAAATATTTCAAGAATATGATCCTCATTCTATCAGTTGAAATAAGTATTAAAAATTATAATAGTAAAAAAATATATAATTAATAAAAATAACTATTAAGTAAAATTTACCAAAATTTCCTTATCGTATATGATTGACGAGTCCCCATGTATTTTGCATCTAATTAAAGTATTTTTTTACTTTTTAATAGTAGAATATATAAAATAATTACAAGCTACATATATATTGAAAAAAAATTACAGACATATTAAATATTATATACAAATTTTTATTAAATACAAAAAAATATTAAACTACCAAATATTATATACAAATAATATTAAATAAATAATTAATTAATTAATTAATAAAAATAAGATTATATATGAAATGTATATTAACTAAAAATCTAATAATTATTTAATTTATACTATATGCAACATATTATATACATACAATATTAATTGAATATAATTAATTAAATAAATAAATATTATTATTAAAATTTACATAAATTCCGAACGACTTCTCGATCGTTTGTATAAAATAAAGAGGACGGAGATAAGATTTTTTATTTATTAAGAATTTCCCTTTTCTTTTTCAGGTGCAGTTTCACATGGGAGGAGTTTCAAGATGACTGAGGGAGGTAAAGAGGATGAAAAGGGCGGGTGGAAAGATGTTTGTAGCCTTCTCGAGACTAATTAAATTTTAAATCAATTTTTCTAAAAGATGTTCTTTTAGGAAGTTTTTTTCATCAGGATTATCGACAGATATTGTCACATTGGTGAAAAATGCTATTTAAATAATTTAGATTCAAATAAATATATCTGTAGGACGTGTATTATCAATAAATTTAAAATATCTAAATAGATACCATATTATAATTATCACATACTATTTAAAAATTATTTAAAATTAAAATTAATAAAATATAAATAAATAAAACATTAAATGTATTATTATATCAATTTAAAAGATATCATATCAACAATTCACATAATATTTTAATGAGAGAAAAAAATAGTAATTGAGTGATTAATAGAATAGTTTATAAAAAAGCCAATTTTGTTTTTAAAATCTAACGTAAAGAGTTAAGTATTGGATTCATTCATATTTATCTTCTAATTTAAGAGTTTAAAAATAATAATTAAAATAATTCAGCGTGAACTTGATCCAACTTTGTAATATAATATTTATTTATTTCTATATGTTAGATTATAACATGAAACTTTACGAGGGGTGTGAGTAGAGTGGAACAAGAGACAGAACAATCTTTATTGACTTATTGGTCATTGGATTCTTCTACTAAATTTATAATTCCTTCATTATTGTCCTCTTTAGCCCATCACCATTGTGAGAGCATATCCATCGAAAATAAATCTCACAATCAGTGCATATTATATATATATATATATATATCCATCGAAAATATTTTTCTTTAAAAATTCGTCAACTATAGTCGATTTTTTATATATATATTTATATATCTATAGATGAATCCATTTAAAATAAATTGAAAATATTTACGACATTGTTTTACTTAAATATTATTTTTATTTTTAAATTAAAAAATAATTAAAATTAGACTAATAAAAATAATAATTAGATAATTTAAAAATATTTGAAACTTTTTAAAAATACTTAAAATAATTCAACATTTGTACTATAAATATATAAAAAAATTAATTTATATTATAATTAATATTTTTATGAATATATATGTAATTAATTACAATTATAATTTACTTTAAATGCTTTTATTGACCAAAATGCACCAATCAAGTAGGTTTGCCTGGTGGTTAGGCGTGAAGCCATTCAACCACCAGACCAGAGATTGATTCTTATTGTAGTTAGTTAAGTAAGTAGAGAGTGTTGATATTAACTAATAGTTTCTATTTCAATCAAAAGTATTTTAACACAAAATAAAATTTTAGAGTTAAATTACTTTTAAAAAATAAGGACAAAAATGATTATTTATCAAACGATAGAAGGTATTTTTATCATTTCTGTCAAAATAAAAAAATTTAGAAGGCCATGCATAGGGCTACAAACAAACGAGTCAAGTCGAGCTCAAGTATTGTTGAGTTTCACTCGACTCAAAAACTTCAAAATTGAGTTCGACTCAGCTCGAAAACTCGTGACCCTAAAATTTTTAAGCTCGAACTCGAAACCATGAATTGAAGCTCGGAAAAGCTCGAAATAAAAAGAAAATCTTAAATTTAACTCGGTTTAAGCTTAAACTCGAACATGAACCTTAAGTACATAGAAATCTTATACTATTTTTTTCAAAAAAAAAAATCAACACACAAATGTTAATATTATAAATAATTTAATATTTTAGAAAATAACATTTTAATATATTGTTTTTTCAAGTTGCTATCGAGTTTTTCAAATCGAGTATCAGTAGGTTGTTTCGGCTTGTTAAGAACACGTGTCTAGTTCAAACCCAAAATGAGTTCATTCGAGTTGAGTATTTATAAAGTTTTGATTGAATCGTTCTTGAGTAGCTCACCATATGTTTTATCTTATTTACAGTCCTAGTCATTCCTCCTCCAAATACCAAGATATAATTATTAAATTCCGTAATACCATTAAAGATGAAATAACAAAACTTTTATATTAAATATTTATTGTTGTTGTATTTCAATGTATTGAATAATATTTTAAAATAGTAATACATTTTATATAATTCCTATATACTAATAATTGCTGTAATACATATTTAATGATTATTTTTATATTATATTGTTGTCCACGTATAATGGTACAATGCCAAAATTACTAAATTAATTGTTAAAATGAAACTTAAAAACACCAATGAGAGAATAATATGTAACCAGCAGCATGTCATGCTCATGCAACGTGCTTTCAACACATGGCTGTCGGTTTTTTCTTAGTGTTCACATCTTTTTTTATCTTAACGGTATTTTAATATTTCTCAATACAACAGTGACTATGAAATTATAAATTTATCCATCAAATCATTAAATTATTAAAATAATTTTAATTAAGTAACAAGTAAAATATTATATAAATTTATATAATTATACCAGGAATTAAAATTAAGGTTATAGTCATATTCTCAATTGTGTTACTTTTATCGCGATTACGACATAATATATATTAGTGCGGTCACTATAAATATTGAAATAAATCATGAAGTTTTTAAAGGATTTGATCTTTTAAAAATAAGATAATTCTTTTTCAAAAAATAAAATAACATAATAATAACGAGAATAGCAGCCTGTTATTTCTGTAATCGATCATTACTTGTTAAATTATGATTGTGGTTCACCGCTGTTGATATAATTTCACTTCATATAATTATTTTATGTAATAATAATTTTGAACACCACCACTATCATTAAATAACAACTGCTATTTCACTATCCAACGACTATTTGAGTCCTTGGATTATACTTTTTATTTATTTACACATAATCGTTTTCATTATCCTTTGTCTCACCGTCACCATCACTCTTAACACATCACAAAAGGTAAAATGGCTGAGAAAATATTATGGGAAAAAATTTCCAGAATAAACCAACTAGGGGATTATTTCCCTATTTAGGGTGAATTATACATTAACCAGTCGAAGACGTCACTTGTTCCACGCTTCTTTAAAAGGTCTCGGGAGTGCACAACGTCTCCAAGCATAGGGAGTCTCTAGGATTACACATCATCTTCAGGAAATGGGAGGAAGTCTCCATTATTGCATGACGTCAGGCAGATTAAGAGAAGAGAGCAATTGGAAGAGGGGAGCATTTAGGAAGTGTAACATCCCAAAATAAGGACTAGTGACTTAAATGTAAGTTTTGGAAATTTGAAGTCTAATTTCGAAAGATTGGAAAGTTCAGAGACTTAATTAGGAATATTTTGAGGATTATTTGGTAAATATGTACGGAGATAAAGGTAAATTGGTCTTTGTAAAGAAAGATTTTTATTATCTCTTTATAAAAGAGATAACCATGTGTAAATGGGAAAGAAAAGTCTGGAGAGATGGGGTTCAGTTTCTTCTTCTTCTCGTGTCTTC